TAGTATGTACACAAAGCCACATCAACATTGTTAACAAATAATACACGGGTTTAGTATGTACACAAAGCCACATCAACATTGTTAACAAATAATACACGGGTTTAGTATGTACACAAAGCCACATTAACTGAAGAGATTTTAAGATTTGAGAACTTTTCAGTTCTGTAGCACCTTATATGTACCTGTCATGGTTGTGACAACAGAACTTTTTGGTTCTGTAGCACCTAATATGTACCTGTCATGGTTGTGACAACAGAACTTTTTGGTTCTGTAGCACCTAATACATACCTGTTATGGTTTTGACAACAGAACTTTTTAGTTCTGTAGCACCTAATACATACCTGTTATGGTTGTGATGACAGAACTTATTGGTTCTGTAGCAACTGATATGTACCTGTTGTGGTTGTGATGACAAAAGTGGGCTTGAGACTTTATTTAAATACATTTCCCATAATGCTTTAGAACAAAAGAATTCTTTCCTCAACTCTGCTCCTGTTCGTTTAATAACTTACTACTTGTTTTATATAAACATTTTAAAAACACTCAAAAGCTGAAATATGGGGAACAACAAGCTAGAGATATATTGTGTCCATCTCAGAACTATAGTTTTGGCTCCGATCGGCCAATGATGGTCCATGTTTTCCAACAAATTCTAAATGTCTCTGGGTGTACAAAGAGCTAACTGTTAAACTAGATAGGCTTAAACATTCCTTTCGTTTGAATAAGTACGTGTATAAGGGAATGTGTATCAATAAAATCACATTGTTCTGTTTAATTATCTAAACGTTTTTTATACAAATATTTACTTTTTTTTTAGGTTCTAGAAGAAATTTCTTAGTGCATGATATTTTAACTTTTTTTTTCCCACATCTAGGGGATAGGACCAATTATGTCAATCTTCCCCACGTGATAGCTATGGTGGGTCTGCCAGCTAGGGGTAAGACGTACATAGCCAGGAAACTGACTCGTTATTTGAACTGGATAGGCATTAATACAAGAGGTACAGAATGATATATAATTACAGTTCACGAAGCTGTTGATTCTTGTTGTATGAAACTATACAACTTGAAACTCTTATTTTATGCATTTTTTTTTAATTTGTTGTTGTTTAAAGTTTTCAAATGTATAAGTTTTGTCTATACAGTTAGGTGAGTAGAGGAACTGGAGTCTGTTCATGATTGATTCAGAAATTTGGTCATAGTTCCAGTTTCATGTCTTGTTTTTGACATGAAAATATTTTGTATAGAATTCTTTAAAGCTAATAATTTATTTAGAATTTTATCACAGAAATTTACAGACCTAACGATGCTTAAATTTTAGTTCTCTGTAAAGCCTTCAAACATTTAAAGTATTTATGATAAGGTTTTGAGTTTAGAATTAAAAGTAAGTTGTGTGTTTACTGCTGTGTATATAAGACTGAAGTTCACAATTTCTGATTTGTTTATTCTAGCAAAAGTAAACTAGTTTGATTTATAGCTTCATTCTTGAGTGTTCAATGTTGTTTGATTGTATCTCCTAAGGTGGCAGAACCTTGTGAGATATTACTAGGTTTAGGGTTGTAAATATTGTTAACAGTGAGGGCACCCAACTGATGAAATAATGCATTCTAATCTTTATAAGTAAGAATGTAAGAAAAGATATCTAATTAGCTACACTCTTTACCAGGCTGTTATTTAACTTTGTTATAAGAAGGTAGCTTGTTCTGATCAGAAGTTAAGATTAATAGCTTGATTGACATACTCTTTTAGTGTTTAATGTTGGAGAGTATCGAAGGCAAGCCACGGAGGCATACAGAAACCATGATTTTTTTCGACCTGATAATAAAGAAGCCATGGCTATACGCAAGTAAGTAATGAATCATTTAAAGAAAAATTAACGTTTTAAGCCTACATGTAATCTTCAATAACTTGTATTGCCAGACAAGTTTGATTATCGTTTTAAGGACACTCAAATGACTTTGAGTTGTATAAGTTAAGAAAGCTAACAGTAAAATACATCTAAAAACTGATATTATAAATATATAGTTTTATTACAGAAGATCTATTACTTTCAAGTGAAGGTACATTTTGCAGCTCTAATACAGGTCTGTTGCTTTTGAAATGAAGATACATTTCTGCTTATACTTACATTGAGTTAAAGAAATAGCAATTCACCTTTTAAAATTTAAAATTTGTTTTTTCATTGAGTTTTCAATAGTAATAATTAATAACTAGCAGTGACTAGTAAAACATTTGCATTCAAATTGAAACACAGGATTTAATAGAAAATAATTCTAATCGCAGATACTAGAATATATCAATCCAATTGTCTTAGGCCTAACATGCAGATACTAGAATATATAAATCCACTTGTCTTAGACCTAACATGCAGATAGTAGAATCTATAAATCCACTTGTCTTAGGCCTAACATGCAGATACTAGAATCTATAAATCCACTTGTCTTAGGCCTAACATTAGTTTAGCCT